TAATGTCATTACCCAATTAATTAAGTATGTCGACCCGGCTTGGATCTCACCCAAAGAATCAAAGCAACAACAATTATGTGCACATGTCTATTTAATATCTTACGGGTTAAGAGCACGCAATAATTAATTGAGGCCTAGTTCGTTTACGACGATCAGTATAAAACGAACATCCCTCTCTGGGATCCTGTTCAATACATAAATGTACTAGTGCAACTAATCGGTCAAGACAAACCGTACTGTTGACACTACAACCGTTCCGATGGGTTGTTCAATTCCATCTAGGTTGTGAACCAATGATTCTTGTTTCGCAAGTAACTGAGATAGTGATCTTCGGTACGCCCGATGACGACCCACTTATCTACATGCAAAACAACAGAACGTGGAACTTATTTAACCAAACATAATTCTCATCCATCAAGAAATAACAAGTGTAATATCCACTAAAGCAAAGCTTAAGTATATAACACCAACAGGCCACACGCGCGCGCGCGCCCGCCTGCCGGCTGGCCGGCTCGGGCTCGGGCCTGGGCCTGGGACTTGGGACTTGGGCTTTGGTCCTTGATCCTTGGTCCTTGGTTCTTGGCAATTGGACTATTTGAGCGGTTGGGCTTCAGCCTTGGGCCCAATCACTATATATCTTTTTGCTGCAAATTTATTTACAATTTTAGGCCCAACAGAAAAATCCATTTTGGACTTGGACTCGGGTTTTGACCCAACCCGAGTGGGACTTCTCCATGAACAATGAATCTGGACACCTGACTCTTCATGTGAAATGTAACAACTCAGGTGTAATGTTAATGGTGTTAATACCTGGTTAGTGGTGTTAACTCCTTGTTAATGGTGTATTAACACACCTGAAATGTTTCGCACATTATCTCTGCCTTAAGTGACAGATGTGACTGTTGGTTTCCCTCAAGAGGTGGAAGTCCTATAAATAGGACTTAGAGCTGCAGAGAAAAATACACAACATTGCATGCACTCTGAATACTCTCAAAGCCTCACGCATCATATCATACTGCTTTGTTCTCGACTTCATTCCAGTTTGTCGGAGCTCGAATTCTGGTGTGCTACAGTATTCGAGACGTAAGCCGTTGTATATTTGGGGATGAGACGCCTGAACCCGTCAGCACTATACGGGGCGTTTTCGTCTTGCGGAAAGAGCAATCGTCTCGGCTGTTTTCGCTTTCTCTTTTGTAATTTTCAATTATGTTTTAGTTCAAATTGTACGAACTGAACACCTCAGTCAGTTCATAGGTTCCCGCTGTAATCAAAACACAACATTGTGTAACAACTTAATTATTAGTCTGCCAGGTCAGATGTCAACAAGGTCGTTTTCGTAACTTTTTTTTTTAAAAAAAAAATGTCGTGTTCCATGTGTTGCAGTACCATTTGTTATTTTAACTATTCATCTTAGTCCATACTCACCTTCCTCTATATATATAGAAGCAATTGATTGTGAGATTGTCATCATTTTACTATAAATAAAAAAAAAAAAA